CCGTGTTGCTCCCCTTAAGACCAGAAAAACGAAACTTAAATCAGAGCCCTGGCTGAATGACGTCACGCGAGCCGTTAGGCGGCAGTGTCGCAGTGCTGAACGAAGGTGGAGGAAGGACAGGCTCCAGGTGTCTTTTCAAATGTTAAGGGAGAGTTGGCGTCACTATCAGAAAACCGTTAAAGCTGCCAAATGTAAATTCTTCTCTGATTTAATTATCTCTAACTCCCACAACCCCCGACTTCTTTTCTCCACCCTGAACTCAGTTCTACACCTCAGTGAGCCTTCACCTCTGGAAGCCTCAACTGAGCTGTGTGAAAACTTCCTCCATTTCTTTTTAGAAAAAGTGGCAAACACCCGGGCACTCATTTCTCCACCAGCTCATGATCTGTCCATCCCTTCTCAGTGTGTGGCTGTGTTTGACCACTTTGAGCCCATCTCTCTGTCCTCTCTGGAGCAGGTAATGTGCAGCATGAAGCCATCTGGTTCCCCCTTTGATGTGGTCCCCCCTCGACTGCTAAAGGAAGTTTTTCCTACCCTGGGTCCTTTTATCCTCGCTATTCTGAATAGCAGTTTATCCTCAGGTGTGGTGCCAAAGACTTTTAAACATGCTGCTGTCCAGCCCCTCCTGAAAAAACCTAACCTTGACCCCTCAGTCATGTCCAACTTCCGGCCTGTCTCCAGACTCCCAGTCACCTCTAAACTACTGGAAAAAATTGTGGAGTCTCAGTTGAAACAGTTTTTGGGGGATCACGCTATCCTAGAGTTATTCCAATCTGGCTTCAAATCTCTCCATAGCACTGAAACTGCTCTACTGAAGGTTTTTAATGACATTTTCATATCCACAGACGCAGGTGATTCTGTGCTGCTTGTCCTATTGGACCTTACATCTGCTTTTGACACCATCGACCACAACATCCTCATTTCTAGACTGGAGCAGTGGGTGGGCATCACAGGGTCAGCCCTTAAATGGTTTGGGTCCTACCTCTCTGACAGAACCTTCTGTGTCAATATCAAAGATTTTAGTTCGGCATCGACAGCGCTCCAGTGGGGGGTACCACAGGGGTCCATCCTCGGTCCCCTTCTCTTTTCTTTATACCTGCTGCCACTATCTTCCGCAAACACGACATACCCTTTCATTTCTATGCCGATGATTGCCAAATTTACTTCCCCCTGAGGCACAGAGGCACACGCTCTATTCAGCCTCTTCTTGACTGCCTGGCTGAC